ACAGATGAAAATTACCTCACAAAGTTGTTTAAAATAACATGTGGTGTCCCCAAGGTTTAGTTCTTGCTTCTCTTTTGTTTCTTATCTGTATAAATAACCTTCCAAAAATCTAATAAATTTGAATTTATAATGTTTGCAGACAATACAAGTTTATTTTACTCTTTAAAAAGTATCCACAATCTGTATATAAAATGCAAATAAAGAACTTCAAAAACTAAATATATCGTTTAGAGCTAATAAATTGTCACTAAACACTGAAAAAAAAATTACACTTTATTTCACGCAAAAATACTAAGAAACACATTACCAACAACTCTAAACCTGCTAAAAGTAAAAAATATAGCCATTGAAAGAACTCAGGAAACTAAATTTTTAGAAATTGTAACTGATAAAACTATATCTTGGAAAGCTTACATTAATGCATTAAATACTTTTTTTATTTTTTATTTTTATTTTGTTCTTATTACAATATACTATGGTATAAATATTGTTGTACATTAAATATCAGAACACAGAGACTCAAAGAGGATCGTAAGATCCTGTCACTGAGAACCGTTTAACAATCCCGTAAAAATATAACCAGTTAAATAATTACAATAAATGACGTTTAGAAAAAAATTTTTAAATCTAACCAGATATTTCAAAACATAAAATAACGTTTAACAACATAAAGAATATATATAAAACTAAATATTTCAAAATAAAACAATATATTCAGGAATTAAACAGTTTTTTAAAAGGTATAAACTCAAAAGAACTCAAAGATATTATCAATTTTAAAACTTAATTTTAAAAGTAAGAAAACTCCAACTTTGAGAAAAATCAAAATTTTTCAAAACTATTTTGTTCCACAGAAGAGCTCCGCGATATGAGATCTTCCAAAACTTGTATGAGAATAATGTGAATGAATAAGATTGTCATTTCTTAAGTCATATATATTTTTTTTCTTTTATTGCATATTAATTTTGAAAGGATATAGGGGTTAGGTTTATCTTACATTTGTACATAAATAAAAGAACATTAAAAATATTTTACTGATATATATTAAGAACATTCATTTTCAATAAAAGAGGTCTGGCATGAGTATAACGATCTTTAAAGTTTACTAAACGTGCAATATGCTTCTGTTGCCGATATAGAAGATCTAATTGTTTTTTTTTAGCATTTCCCTATGCGATATTTGCATAGTTTATATGGCATTGAATTAGCTAGTGTTGAATTAACGAATGTCTATTTACAAATACTAAAATATCAAACAACATAGGTCTACTTTATAAAGCAAGGCCTATGCTGTCGCAAAGTAATTTAAAACTTATATACTTTTCTTTTATACACAAATACTTAACATACACTTATATAGCTCGGACGAGTACGCATATAACCAAATTAAAATTATTATACCAACGTCAAAAACACACCTTAAGGCTAATTTACCATAATAACGAATTTACACACACTGAACCCCTCTTTAAAGAAATGAAGTTGCTTAACATTTATCAAATTTACATATATCAAAACATATTATTCATGCTAAAATTTAAATTAAGTCAGGTACCATATCATTATATAAATAGCTTTTTTAAATATAACGTTAATAAAAAGAACAGAAGAAAAGCAGGAAATTCTCTATTTCAAAAAAAACAAAAAAACATTACTCTCCCAATTCTCTATTTCATATCGAGGCTCCTATTTATACAACAAACTAATAGCTAAAAATAAACCAACTTGTAATCTAGATTATCAAAACTCCTTAAAAATACAGTTAAAAAATCTGATCCTGAGTTTATGGAAATACTCAGAATATTTCTAAAAGACTGAAAATTAAATTAAATACTCATCAATCAAAAAAGTAGTAGACCCTAAAATGTTTAGATGTGTTTTATAAAATCCGCTTTTCAAATTTCTAGTTTTCATTATATTTTTAAGGTTCTCGATGATAACACTTCTCCTGGTCTTCTGCAAGTTTTCCTTCAACTACATAATTGTATCAAATTTATAATATAGGTATATTTTATCAAATTTATAATATAGGTATATTTTATCAAATTTATAGTATAGGTATATTTTCAAATTTATAATATATGTATATATTTCCTATATGTATATTTTCTTTTAACGACAACCACGAGTAAGTCTCTAGTAGCCCTGTGGTGCGACGGACTTGCTTGTTTTATACTTTATTTTATAAACCACGAAAGTTTAAATTTCAACCCACTGTCTAGCAAGCACGCGCTTACAGTATTTTTGACTTTCACTTATTGTAAATATATGTGTTGTATTAACTTCTGAGTGATTTTGTACACTTATATATCGGAGATATATTTTTTTTGAATTATAAAATGTTTGCTAAAAAAAAAAAATTTAATTTATAAATTCTCCTCCGCGGTGCTCTGTAATTTTCTGGGAGTACTTTAATAACTACATGAAACAAAAAAAGGAAACAAAATATTTCTCCAATAGATGATAAATAAATATCTTAGTTTCTCTTTCATCACTTTACAAATTTGAAAGAAAAATAGTTTAAAGATCAGTACATTAAATTGTTCTAAGTCACTTTTTAGGATTTTTCAAAATTTTTATCCGCAACATTTTGATCAAGATTTTCTTTTATAGAAAGTAGCTTTGCGTTTCCATAAAATCCCTCCGCAATGCAGGGTCAAATTAACATATTGGACTAAAACCAAAAAATAACTGTGCAGTTTAAGTTCACAATAAATATTAATATATTTAACAATAACAACAACAAAATAATAATAGTAAAAATCATTAATAATAATAATAAAAAAAAAAAAAAAAAAATTAAAAAAATAAATTAAACAAAATAATAATAATAGTATAATATTATTGATATTTTATTATTATTATTATTATTATTATTATTATTATTATTATTATCATTATTATTATTATTATTATTATTATTATTATTATTATTATTATTATTATTATTATTATTATCATTATTATTATTACAGTAGAATCCCGTTAACTCGGACTCTAAAGTCCGAGTTAACGGGATTCTACTGAAAAAAAATATTTATTGTCCGAATGTCCGAATTAAGCAAAGCTTTCGTTAAGTCGAACTTTTTGAAAATGTCCGAGATTTTGAGACTTATCGAATGTTTCTCAATGTATAAATATATATACATATTTTTTTAATTTCGCTTACATTAAAATGTCACAGTACAATTATATGCCGTATATATATATGGTGTTACAATTAAAAAAGTTCCAATACTTCTGTTAATATTAATTCTTGTTTGAAAAATAAAAAACTTTAAGTTTCTATTTTAGAAAAGTTTAAATTAAATATGTATATTATTCTTATACAAAAAATAATTTAAGAATAAGAGAAGAGAGGGAAGAAAAAAAAAAGAGAGAAGAAAGAGAAGAATAAAAAAAAGAGAGATTTGTTGAAAAAACTTAATTGACTCTTTTTTGTAATTAGTTTGTTTACAAATTTTAAATTAAAATCAAATCAAATAAATTAAAAAATAATAATAATAAAAGCTAAGAAAATGAAATTCATCATACTTCTGAAATTATAAACTTTTAATCAATTATTCAAAAATTCTAATTGTGGAAATTTTAAACTTAATAGCAAGTGGTATCATATAATAACAGAGCATAAATAGTAATAACAAAGCAAAAACAGTGGTAACAGAGCAAAAAAGTGGTAACAGAACATAAACAGTGGTAGCAGAGCAAAACAGTGGTAACAGAACATAAACAGTGGTAGCAGAGCAAAACAGTGGTAACAGAGAATAAACAGTGGTAACAGAGCAAAACAGTGGTAACAGAGCAAAAAAGTGGTAACAGAGCATAAACAGTGGTAACAGAGCATAAACAGTAGCAACAGAGTATAAGCAGTGGTAACAGAGCATAAACAGTGGTAACAGACCATAAACAGTTGTAACAGATTATAAGTCGGCTTTTTACAAGAAATATGTTTATACTCATACTTATTTGCACCTTTGTTATTTTTCAAAAAATTTAGGCACTTTACCAACATTGAGTCACTATATTTCTTTTTCTATAATTCTCTTATTATTTCTCTTTCTATATTTATCACTATATTTATCACTATATTTCTCTTTCTCTTTTCTATAAATAATTCAATGGGCTCTGCTCTAAAGAGCTAACGTCTCTTGTATCATCAACTAAAATTCATTCTCGTGTTTATCGTCATTTTATTAAGTCTCATCCTTTTACTGTGGCTGTTCCTAAGTGCTCTTAAAATTCTTATTCGACCACTTTTTTCCTGCGAACATTAGATCTTTGGAATTCGCTTCCTTCATTATGTTTTTCTGATTCATATAACTTGCAAACTTTTAAGTCGTCTGTCAATCGTTGACAGACGTTTTGTTCTATAAACTTCATCTCTTCTCTTTCAGTAACTTCCAACTCTAATCTAATAGTGGTTGTTTACAGCCTTGTTTAAAGTAAAGACTGTTGAAAACAAAATATATACATATATATAAATGTTTCCTTAGCTATCCTTACCTTTTCTACCTCTAGGAGTATTCTTTTTTTGTGACAAGGCGTAATGTATAATGTAATATGCAATTTCGAATTCTAATGCTTGAATAATATTCTTTTAATCCATTTTGCTTGTATTTTTTTAAAACAAAGCCTAATCACTCTCTATTACAACATAGATGTAATAATATTGATTATCTTAGTTGTGGAAAAAATAAGTATAAATGAAAATATAAGTAAAAAATTGGAAAAAATGAGTATATTTGGTAAAAAATTGAAAAAAATTGGAAAAAGTTGGAAAAAGTTGGAAAAAAAAATTGGAAAAAATAAGTATAAATGAAAAATTAGTCCTTGCAGGTATACAAAAGTTGTACACAAAAACATCTACTTTTTCTGAGTTGGTTTTTGTAATTTTTAATTTAAAGGTGTTTTTTGCAATTTTTTACAAAATCTTTTCCACATTATAACACAATAAAAATTTTGAAACTAAAATACAACGTTAATTTAAATTTTTGTACTTGACCAAAATACACAAAAAAATTTTTTAGGTGTGAAAAAATATATATTATATCTAAAATATTTTTAAAGAACTTCATTAAAATTTTATCAATCAAACTTGATCATTATTTCATTGAGCGGTTTTCTCTTTAAGTTGGGTACTTGACAATTTTTTGATGGATAACCCACTGGAAGAAGTATAACAATTTTTTCATTTGGACCACGACCAACTAGATTACGAAGCTTTGATCCAGCATTGAGCGGTGTAGATGTAAGAGCAACCAGTCCGGCATTTTGGATTGCTGCTAAAAGAAATCCACAACTTATTGATGCACTGATTTCATTATAATAATGTGTTTTTTTTTGACCATCCTCTGTAATCCCATATGTTTGTTTGAATACTAAAATCAAATAAGGCGCCTCAGTAAGGTATTCTTTTATCCAATTTGTCTTTAGAGGTTTTAAATCGTCGACCCATTTTTGGCCCATTCTTTGCTTATAATTGAGCTCCTCTTCTTCTTCGATTATCTCTCGTACTTTTGCTAGTAATGAAATAAAAAATGATAATAATAATAATAAATAAATCTGTTTTTTATATGCCGATATATAAGTTTTTTACACGTGTAAAACTATTTTTACATAATATTGAGCAGTTTTTATTTATTTAATTTTTAATAATATTTTGGGAAAAATGAGTTTTATATAGAGCTTTTTTAACCTCAGTTTTACTCGTATTTCGTTTTTGGATTTAACGTGCTTTTAACAAAATAATCACCTTTTAATAGCTTATTTTTTATAACAACAAATGTCCAAGGTTCAGTGTGAGCTCCACTTGGCGATGTTCCTTAAATGAAAATCAAACATAAATCAATAAAAGCTAGTTACTTTTTCTCTATTTTATCATTCATTGTTTTAGATTGTTATTGACAAAGTAATTATAACCTTTACCTGCTGTTCGAATAATATTGTCAATTACTTCGTCAGGAACACCTTCGTTACTAAAAAATCGAACCGATCTTCTGGCATTCATACTTAAATAAAAGTCGTTACTTCGTTTTATCATTTCTTCTTCTGAATATCTAGACGGATGATATGGAATAAAATCTTCTTTCGGGAATAAATCAGCTGTAGGATGCGATTCACGCTCTTTCAATTCATCTTCTGATTTTAAATCACAGTTAAAACTATTAACATTATTTTAAAAATCCGATAACTTATCTTATTTACTGTATTACATATAAAAAAAATTCTAAATAATAGTTTATCGTGACGAAAAGTTTTTACTTACTACGACGTTTAAGTTCCGTAATTTTTTGGTAAACTAAGTGAATGAGCATGGCAAGTATACCAGCTAATAATCCATAACTAACTCCAGAAAGATTATCAAACATCTTTACTAAAATTTAAATTTAGCGTCGAAAACGTTACTCTAGTAGAATTCTCGCCACGCTACTATTTAAAAATATAAAACTTGTCTAAAATTATGATTAAAAAAAAAATAATTATTTTTTTAGCAACAAACAATATTTAAAACAATTTTCGTTTTTTAAACTTATAATAAATATTAATTTATAATAAATAATAATTTACTTCAAACAAATATATTACTCATTATTTAAAAAAAAAATCAAGTTGAAATTTCTAATGCGGTTTCATATTTCGATTCTAAATTTTGTCCATAATATACAAATTAAAAAATTAATTCAAAGACGGTTCTTTATCGCGATGGATATTATAAAAAACTGCCAATGTAGTCGCTTCGCCATTTTGTACTCATTACCTTTATTTTCATTTATTGCATATCAACCATTGAAAAAAAAAGTTTGCGAGTCGTAACAAAATAAGTAACCACCTAAAAAGTTTAACAAAAAATTATAACGAACGCGCACTCCATTTAATGGCGTACCACATTCAATATTGATGTAATATTCCTTAAAAATCAAGTGTTATTAGTTTCTATTCTAAACTTTATTATACAAACAAAAACATCAAATAACATCTCCAAACGTAAATATTTAAAAGTTGGCGTCAACAAAGTAAAAAACATTTTAATCGCGAATGATGTTTTTGCGTAGATTGTTTTGCAAAACAAATGTCATGAATTCAGGTTTATTAAAAGGATATTGAAAAATATATAAACCCGTGAGATAGTGGTAAAAAGAAAATTTCCACAAGACCCAGCAAATATTCTATTGTGGAATTTCAGTGGACCTATATAGGCATTTTGAGCGGTCCACTGTAGTTTTTCTCATCGGTTACTTAGTAGACCACTAGTGATTAGTAGCAGCCGTTAAAAGTGGCTAGCTGATAACTAGGCACTATATTACATGTTGGAAAATTATCAGCTGACCACTTATAGTGGATACCACTAATGGTCCAATAAGTAACAGATAAGCAAACCTCCAATGAACCGCTCAAAATGCAAATATAGGTCCTCTGCAAATCCACTACAAAAATGTTTGCTATAGAGCTTTTCTCAGTCTGTAACTAACGCAGTTTAAAGATTTAAAAAAAATGTTTGAAAGTCATATTTAAACTTCGTTGTTGCAACAGTTGAGTACAAGAATTTTTTAGTTGCAAATCTGCGAAGGTGAAAACAAGTTGCAAAATTTTTCATACTCATCCTACCCCAAACTTATGCTAATAAAGTTACTCCTTATGTACAACAAGAAAAGTAAAACAGCTTGATTACTTCGTATGAAATAATATCAGCTAAACCCTTGGCTAAAAGTTATCTTTCACGGTTTTTGCAAAAAACTTGTTTTAATGCACGGTGTTCTGGATCCTCTTCAACAAAGAATAGTTGAATTTTGCTTTACAACTTGTTTCTTAACCAGTCTTCTAACACACTTATGACATTCCGTACTAATTTCTCCATTTGTATCCAAAACAATTGGTATCATACTGTCATGTTCAACACCACAAACTTCAACTTCATGAACTCGTTATGTACAAAACATGATACACATTAAACATTTATTTTCACAATTGCATAGGATATTTTATTAAAATTATATCGTAGGCGTAGTTCATCTTAAAATTCTATCAAGTTTAAAACAAAACCTTGCTTTTCAAGATTTTAACCAATTACAGGTATACCTAGTCCTCCGATTCCTGGAGTTGATGTAAAAGGTTTTTTAACGTTGTTCTTAAAAGGCAATATGATTACATACAGGGCCGGCGCAAGTAGGTGTCACGTGGGGGTGGGGGGGGGCCATTACAACTTTTGCCGACTAAAAAAAAAAAAAAAGGTCCTCGTTTTCCAAAATTTGCCGACTACCATGACGATATTTGCCGACTGTCTAACCTATATCAAAAGGGTCAACATTTGCCGACTAAGTAGTCTAAAAGGGTCTCCAATTTGCCGACTAAGGGTCCAGTTTGCCGACTAAAAATCATTGATGGGGGGTGTCACACACCCCACACCCCCCTATCGCGCCGGCCTTGATTACATATAGGAAAATCAAACAACAAATTATTTCGTCTATTGGTGCTAGATATTATTCAGTATTTGAAATAGTTCTGAGAAAATTTAAAATTATCAATTGAAAAATTTTTGTAAAGGCTATAAAAGCGGCCTGCGGTTAAAGGGGCCTGCGGTTGTGTCTTTGATACTTTAAAACTTTTTATTTATTTATTTACTTTGCTAGATTTTAATTGAAAGATTTGTCTTTAAAATTTTGAAAACTACTGAATCCATACTTTGCATACCCTTTATAGTTATGTGGATCCATTTACCAAAAAATTGCTAAACACACCTGTTGAACTTGTGATTAATGATTATCGTGGCGTTAAAAGAGTACCAGAAATTTAAATTTTTTTTAAGCCGTTATACAGGACTGATATTATAGAAAAAGAGGGCACCTTAGAAAGTTTGTTAAACTTTTTTTTATAAACCATTATTTTTTTTAATTTTAATTAATTTTGTTAAAAAAAGTAGTTATAACTTTATAAAATCTAAAAAACTTTACATATTAACAAACTTTAAATAAAATTCTTAAAACCTTTACATATTAACAAACTTTAAATAAAATTCTTTAAAATATTACATATTCAAATATTTATCTTTAATGCCAATAACTAGACCGACTAGACGGTTAGATCTATTTCAGGAATATTCTCCTCCATTATTGTTTTAAATTTTTCTCTTTGTTCTTTTAAGTTCCATAATTGGAACGCTTCTTTTAATATTGATATAGTATCAGCTTGGAGTTCTTCTTGAGGTAGTGTGAATTTAATTTTTTTACCTTCTATCATTCATTGAAAGATGTTCAAACCAAGAGTTTTACATATAGCAATCACTTCGTTTATAAATGATTTTTTATTTTGTGTTGCCAGTAATTGACTAATTTTCAGCGAATAGCAAGCTTGATTTTTCATTAGCCTAATTAATAGGTTTACTATATTTCGAAGAAGAGTAGTTGAAATATCTTCAATTTTAAAAAAAGAATGTAGGTAATTTTTGCTATACTTTGAAATACAAAAAAATGATTTTAAAACTGCTCTAGCTCAAGGCCGTATATGAGCTTTGGCACTGTCAAGGTTTTGTATAAATGGACTATTGTTGACGGCTGACAAAAACGAATTCCACTGTCAATTAGAGCTATTGAGACCAATTGAAACTGCGTTATACGGTCATTTAGATTTGTTTTTTGAAGTGGTGTGATTTTGTTTTTGTTGGTACCGTTATCCCATTGGAAACCCAGATGTTTTAATTTTTTTTGGAGATGTATATAAGTTCCGTTAATTTGAATAATGTTGTTGGAAATTAAACTTTTACCAGAGATCAGAAATTTCGTTTTCTCAGTGTTTAGCTTGATAAGGTTTAATATTCCATATGTTTGAAATCTGTCAATCAGTTCTTGCAGACCAGAGATTGTTGGACTTAGCAAAATTACATCATCTGCGTATGTAATGACACCAGTATAGATGCCATTTATCGTCTACCCTACTTAACATTCTGAGACTATTTCATTTAAGATGTTTTCAGTATAGATGCTATATAAATATGGCGATAAAATAGACCCTTGTTGCACCCCTTGTGACAAACTGAATTAGTCTGAGGTAACTCCCTGATAGGATATATTTGTAGTACCAGAACGATATAGCGATGTGATTGCGTGTACAAGAGATAAAAAAAGTTTTTTTGGAAAAAGAGCTTCTCAAATAGCAAATCCCTAGACTACACATATATAAAGGCGTGTTATTGTTATTATATTGTTATTATAGTATGCTCAATAAAAATTCTGCGTGGAGCGTAGAACTTTTTTTTTTAAAACTGGGAATGGCTTAAAAATGGGAATGGCTATCTTTAATACTAGGACATAAAAATAAATTAGATATTCTAAAAGTTTGGAAAGATAGGTAAAATACTAATTCCACGGTAATTATCTGGATTTTTTATGAGACTTGACAAGTGGAATAATTGTTGAAGTGGATAAATCTTTTGGTACCTTTTCATTTGCTAGAATGCTATTATAAAATTTAGAGAGCCACAAAAAAAATTGTTATTATGACAGTTTTTAAGGTGTTCAGCAGTTACCCCAAAGCTATCTGGGGTAATTTTATACTAATTCACTAATTATTACATCAGCTGATATTATAAACTGCATATCACAACTATCTTTAGTTGTGATATGCAGTTTATAATATCAGCTGATGTAATAATTAGTGAATTAGGCTCATTACTAGAGGCGGAATTTTAAAAGGATTAAAGTTGTTATTTGTAATAAGCGGCGTGTTGAGTAGAGTTCGAAAATGTTGTTTGAACTGTTTAACGATATCTTTTATGTTTTGCGAATTATTAATCGTGAATAACCAAGTTTTTGCTTAGGTTTTGATTTTACGAATATTATCCCGAAACTTTTGAGGATTTTTAGTTCGTAGATTTTCAATATTTATTGTTTTTTCATGGATTTTTTTGTTATGGACTGCTTTAACCGCTTTTCGAAAGTTTTTACGTGCAAGGATGTATCTTTTGTATGCTATGCATTCGTGTGATTTATTATAGTTTATAGTGATTTTTTATTTATTTATTATAGTTTATAGTGATAGTATAGTGATTTATTATAGTTAAATTTATTTTTGCCATTGTTTAAAATTAAATGAAAAATGTTCTTTGCATTTTTTAAGTTCTGCTGTCCACAACGGTTTTGAATATATATAGGTTTTGCGTTGTTCAAAACACTGTGTAACTGCTAATAAAGCAGCATTTTCGATCATTTTGCATGTTTGCATCAACTCTTGTTCCATTTTTTCCTCGTTGAAGGTGTAGTTAGTCAATGAAGTTTTTTTTTATCCCATGCATAATTTTAAATATGGAATTACACTATTTATTACGGTTGACAAATTTATGTGTGTAACGACAATATTTGTGGCTATTGGTAAGTGGTCACTAAAATTAAAAGGCGAAGGAGGAATAACTTTGGTATTTAAAAAAGATAAGGATGACTCTTTTAGAGCTATTAAACTAAAATAAAAAAATTCTTTAGCGTGACGTCCTTTTTTGATGAACCCCTCCCCTTATTCTTTTCATCTTGACCCCCTTTCGCCCTGTTAGCATAAAGTTATGGATGGTATTATGGATGGCCCCCAAGAGATTTTGTCCGGCTACCTGATTTAGAGTGTAAGGGTAAAAAAATATTTGTCTACGAGTCTTGTTGATTGCGGTGTGAATCTAGCTAGCTGAGTATAAATTGGAAAGAAAGGAAAAAAAATCAAGAAAACTAGTAGCATCATTACAAGGGTTTGGGAGAATAATGTTACATTCCCCTAAGTTAAGCGTTAGTGGTGTAGCGGCAGAGCACTCACTTCTTAAACAAGAAGCTCCGTGTTTAATCCCTACCACATCGCTGTTAGTGTTGCCCCCAATTTATTGCGCCGCGCATTAGCCTTGTTTGTCAAAACTGGTATTTTGGAGTTAAAGGTAGGAAAATTAAAAAAAAATCGTTCCCCCACACCACACTGTTTAAACAGAAAGTACAATAAATGACAACCGATGAAGTTGTGGGTATATTACCAAATTTTACAATACTTGGTAATAATCACCATTTATCGCCGAGAATACTTTTCTCCTAAAGTTTGATCTCAAAAGAAGTGAAATTTTTTAGAGATTTTATAAATAAAGATTCTTTTAAAATTCATTTTTTTAAAAAAACTATACTTGAAAAACGTCTCTAAAAATGCCTTTTTTAATTATTTTTTGAAAATGCAAATTTTTTTTACAATTTTAAAATTTAAAAAAATTGATTTCCATTTAAAAAAAAATATTTTTTGAAGCTTTCTCCGAAATTTTGTTTGTTTCGAGAACCAAACTTTATATAGGTTTTAAGATCTAAACTTGGTATACTTTAGGAGAAAAATATTTTTGTAATATGACATTATATGTGGTTTAACCTAGGGTTGCCAGATGTCCGGTTTTTACGTTGGAGAAAAGCAAACCTATAAAAATAAAGATTTTTACTGTGTTCTCATTCGTGAAAGCCGGACATCTAGCAACCCCATATGCCCTGATGACATGTGCCACATGATGTGGCACATGTTATCAAGTGCCATACCCACCATGTCATCGGGTGTCTTGGTGCATGATTATATAATAAAAGTTATTTTATTAATCATTATGTACATTAATTTCTACTACTAGCCAAAATAATTTTTTTTTTGTCATAATCCAAGCAAATGCAGTTGAAAAAAAGTTTTTTTTTAATTTTATTTTAGAGAAAGCTTGTCATGTAAATTAAATTTTTAAGGAGGTATCATTAAGTTCTGTTTAGTGATAAATGCATTGAACTATTATACTTTTTGAAACTGTAAAAAAAATTTAATAAAGGGTAGTTCTAGCTCTTTAAAGCTCTTTCTGAGCTTTCAGATCTGTTCTTGTTTTGTATTTTATGTCTGATTTTCTATATCACTAAACCAATGTCTAAAAATCTTCACTGAACCAAATACCAATTACTAAAAAACAATATTGACAAAACTAATAGTATTAGTTATATTAGTTATATTTAAGGTGATTTTTTGGGCTGGCAATATGAATTGTCACCTAAAATATAACACTTTAGTTTGTATATCAATTTTAGGTTCAAAAAAATGTGTCACTCTTTATTTAGTTTAATTTTAATTTAACATTTTAATTTATTTGATTTTAAAATTTAATACCAATTTAATTTCATTTCAAATTCTATTTTAATTTTAAGTTAAAATTCAATCCCATGAAGATAAACGAACTACTTTTAAAAGCTCAAAATGAAAAAGAAAGCGGAAATGAATTCTACAAGCATGGAAATGTTAGAAGTGCAATAAAAAAATATCACTATTGCCTAATGTACTTAAAAGACATAGAGAAACCATCTCCATTGTCTAAGTTAACAGGAGAACTACACGAGGAGTTAAGCCAGAAAAGTTTAAAAGATATCAATAACTTGCGTTGTACTTGCTATAATAATTTGTCAGGTAATCATTAAAGTCATTTCAAATAAAAATTAGGTATTGAAACTTTATTTATACTTTTTAAAATAAAATAAACCTAGGCTTTACTAAGACTTTGAAATAAATGCAAATTTGGTGATGCAGTGCATCCTTATCACATAAATCTATAATTTTGGCATTAATCAAACACTGCAGATGTTGTAAGTATATGGTTATTTTTTTTTCTATGGAGGTTAACAATTAAGATCTTTTCATAGTCTCACCTATAATTAAAACCATAAAAAGACTTCTTAGTAGTTTACTATGTAGTCTTCAGGCCATCATTATGACTTTATTGTTGCAGAGAAACACAAAATTATATTTCTTAGTAAAACCTTGTTCATTGTGGTATATATTTAAAAGTGTTTGCAGTTTTATATTGGCCAGCTATCTGAAAAATAGTAAACAAAATTTAAGTTTCAATAATATTGTTGCAATCATTATAACATGCATCAAAATTAAATCAATTATTAAATCATATTTGAGGACTTCGTTTTTTTTGTAGTAAGTTACTGTTGGTTGCAACATTTCTGCAACATAACTTAAATTTTGTTGGAAACTTGGAAACTTAAAATTTTAACTCAGTGCTACTTACAATTTTGTAAGTTTTAGGATAGTTAAGAATGAATAATAATAAATGAATAAATAATGAAAGTTTTTGTATCTTATTAAATTTTTTAATAATTATTAGTTGTTACTAATTAAGATAAATTATTGATGAATCATTGCTCTGTCGGCATCCATATTTTTAAATTGTAAATGATTTATCTACATCAATATCATCCTAAGAATATAACTCATTTTCAGATTAACATCTTGATAAACTTGAGATTAACATCTTGATAAACTTGAGATTAACATTTTGATAAACTTAAGATTAACATCTTGATAAACTTGAGATTAACATCTTGATAAACTTGAGATTAACATCTTGATAAACTTTTGAATTTAATTTCTGATTAAACTTTAACTCTTGAATTTAATCTTTTTTTTTTTTTTAAAGATCAATCTACTTTTTCCACCACAAACTGTGTGGTATCTGCTTTATTTAATTAAATTTAATTATTTTTTGATATGTTTATTAGACCTTTGCTTCAATTTATTATTCTTTGAGTTGACATTTTTTTTTTACGTTTTCTGTATTGCATAAGTATATCCATGTCATTAGCTCTGTATTAAACTTCTTTATATGGAAACTGTTTGAGTTCACACACTTATAAAATCTTTGATGTTAAACATAAAAAAAAAAAAAAAAAAAAACATATTTCATAGTTTCACCATATAGCATAGACCTCGTTTCTATTTTGTACAGTAAAACCTTTGTGAAAAACCTTTAAAAAGTTTGTGCCAACCTGATGCTGACCAAAACTAGTTTAGAGTTGGCAATTTATTGCCAATCTTATTTTTTATAATTTGGAGGAGTGAGTATATATGCTAAGTTTCTCCAATTTTTATGCATTTTAATGTTGAAGTACTACACAAAATTTTATACCACATTAAAACTCATCTGAAGAAATAAGTGATATATCTAAAAAAAATCAATATCAGAAAACTCAAAATCTCAAGAAAACTCAAACACACTTTATGAAAAATTAATACAATAAACACACTTTATGAAAAATTACTTAAAAAATCCATTGAATCAAGAATTGGCTGATCTCTCATCATCCTGATCTACTTTCATTTATTACTCTTTTTTTCTTTGCTCCTTTTGACAGTCTATCAGATGAAAATAATTAATTTGTATCTTTTCGAATCATGAGAGATTCTTTAATATTTTAAGAACAAATGCACATAATACGTGTTTAATGAAATATTTTTAACAAAAATTATTTTTATTACAAAATTTTTCTGTCACTGTTAAGAAAGACATCTAATAAATAGGAACATGTAGAAATATTAAAGAGCTTGTCCGAGTTAGAATCGAGATTTGATTCAGTGGAGGTCTTACCATAATTTGCAATTAATATCAGTTAATACCTCAAAAAATATTTTAATTATAGATTTTTTCTGTTTTAATGATAGATTTTTTGTTTTCTTTATCTACACATGTAATTCAAAATGCATGGAGCTTATATTCAGATATAATATTTAAATCAAATGCAAAATATAAAGACACATACTTGCAGACATTGATTGAAAAGAGAGAAATAGAGTAAACAGCTGAGATCTGAAGAACCTAAGAAAATTTACCTTAATTTATCACATTAAGATAAAAGATGTGAGAAAAAATGTGTTTAATAAAGCTTTATGCAGTATGCATAAAATTTCTATGAAACAGAGTTGATGTTTATGTGTTCCTTTAAATGATGCTACCCCTAGCTCACAGGGGTAAAATTGAAGGATCTTGACCTAAAATCAAAAATAATCTGGTGATTTATTACGCTAAAGTAGAATCCAGTCCATATCCATATCCAGTAGAATCATATCCAGTCATTTCCTAGCAATATTTGCAGTATTATTTGCTATTTAATAAAGATGCATAATCTTTTTTTTTTAGATGAAAAACTCAATTCTAAAAATATGAGCATGTTATGCAAACAAAAAGAGATCCAGATTGTCCTGGAGAGAATAAAGTCAATTGATGACTTTGTGAAGAGTTAAAATTTAAACTAAACATCAGTATTTTTTATTGGTCCTGAAAAGTTTTAACTTATGAATTTTTTGATAGATTTGAATATTGTTTAGCATCTCCAAATTTAAAATTGTTTAGCATCTCCAAATTTTCAACTAAATTATATTCTATTATAATTCACTGATATTTCAATACATTCTAAAATTAACCTTCTTCTCTGACAAGTTCAACTTCAACTTTTAGAAGCTACGCTCTTGTATTTTCAGTTAATGCAAACTCTTCTTAAAATGAAGAAATAAAAATCTAATATATTTAAAATATGTTTATTAAGTAGATATATTTAATATATATATATTAGATATATTTGTAAATAAAATAATATAAAAACCCAAGTAAACTTTATAATCTTTCCAACTAAAAACTATTATGAATTTAAAATTTATTTTGAATAATTTTTTTTATTTAAGTTACATTATAACTTTACTAATAGTATATCTTAAAAATACTGAAAATAAATAAAAGTTAAACTATTCATTTAAAATTTTAAAAAATAAACTTATCACTTGAGATGAGATTTTTTGCCTCATTTAAACTCATTTGCCTCATTGACTCTTTTAAAAGACGAAAAAAATATTATTAACCTAGACTTAAAAATATTTTTATAAAATGGCTTACCAATCAACAAATTAAGCTTAACTGATTATGATGGGTTACTATCCAGGGGCGGATCCAGCATTTTTTGGTGTTTGAGATAGCTAACTTCCAGACATGGAGCAAACTCCAAACATTTATATGTTTATACTTATATCAAATAAGGATGGTTTGCAAAAAATTGTGATGATTGGAGCCTGGGAACAAAAAAGCCCCAAAATTTGAGACGTACCTGCCCCAAACGTGAGAGCAACAAGTTGATAAAATATTTTTTGTACTAGACTTACATTTATCCATAAGTTTTAAATTTCATTGTAAAATATTTTAGTGTTCAAAAATTATGACCATGTAAAGTTTGAATCCCCCTCAATTCGAGGGGGTTACAACTTTTATATGGTCATAATTTTTGAGCGCTAACATATTTTACAATGGAATTTAAAATTTATTGATAAATATAAGTCTTGTTGAGAATAGTACAAAAAATATTTTATCAACTTGTTGCTCTCACGTTTGGGGCAGGTACGTCTCAAATTTTGGGGCTTTTTTGTTCCCAGGCTCCAATCATTGCAAATTTTTGCAAACCATCCTTATTTGATATAAGTATAAACATATAAATGTTTGGAGTTTGCTCCATGTCTGGAAGTTAGCTATCTCAAACACCAAAAAATACTGGATCCGCCCCTGCTATCTATAATACTTTTATTAAGATTCATATCTCTGTACTAATGAGTTTAAAAAAAAACAATCAAGATTTGTGTTTCTTTAATGGTAACTGCACTAGTTATGTTATAATGATAACTAATGATTAATTGATGAATAAATTAATGTGTTGTCTATTAAATTAATGTGTTGTAGCATTTGCACATAACATTAAATATAGTTTAATGTATTGTAGAAATCTACTACAACTTTCCTACTTACCATGTTTGTTTGTAAAGCAGCGAATGTGTATGAGGAAAAGTGTTGTTGCTGAATATTGGAGATCCATTTGACATATAAAGCAAATGCACACAATTAAGGTGGTTATGAGCTCATATAGTTGAACATTATTTTTTAGAATTATTCACTTGTTTATTATTATTAGTTGTTCAACTTGATGATAACCTAAAGGGTAGCAAGAAGATACTGTTGTTACTTTCAACAAACATTATCATATTGTTGTAGCTAAATTGAGGATGTTTAAAACTTTCAGTTCTAACCTCATTTGTGCAATCATGAGTTTTCATTCTAATATTCGGTGTTGATGTCTGTGTCATTCATTGACATATCATATTATCTGTTATACCTTTGTCAATTCTGATAAAAATATATCTTTATTGTAATAAAGCTGCGTTCACTAGGCATAAATTGATGTTATAGTTATCGCAAATTATTCCAAATTTTCTTATATTGTTGATAGGTTGTATAGATTTAGTAGACTTAATAAAGTTACAAGCATTTATTCCATATGGTGTGAGCTTTTTGTTTATTTGTTTTGCTTCTTTGACTTAGAAGACAAATTTTTGATCGACTCAGATGAAAAGTCATCTAGAATTAAGCAAAAGCTGTTACATGTTTTCTTGACAAGAAGTAGTTTTCTTAGAGGTAGGTTTCGCACCCCTAAAAATTTTAGAGCACTTTTTTTCAGAGTCTTCTGAAAAAAGCGCTCTTGTTCCTATGCAGTGGCATTTGGTTGCCATTAGTGATTATCAAGTTGACCAAAAAACTCAATTTTAATAAATGTATGTAAAATTAAATCCCCTCCCTCCCCCCTTTACCCAAGGTGTAAATTTTTCACAACATTAAAAAAAAAAAAACTTTTAGTTAATTCCCTGTACACATTTAGTTAATTCATCATGTACACATTCATAGGTTTTTGGGTAACTCTCCCTCCCTTATACCTGTGTGTGGACTTTATGGAAGACCCCAGCAGAAAAATACCATAAAAGAAAATTAAATAATTATTTTTAAAAAAAGCAGTTGTAGGTAAAAGTTAAATATAGTACTCCAGTTGCTAGGATACAGGACAGCAAAATGTTTCCAATTTATTCAATCATTATTTTAGAAAAAAAACTTCTAATAAGTTAAAATTTGCAGGTTAATTTCGGTAAGCGTCTTTTAAATGTCTGCAAAAATAGACGCAATTCTCAAGTTTATTACCTACCACTGCACAAATTGTTTATACAAAAAAAATAATGTTTTCTTTTCTTACACCTTGTATCATTTTATTTTTGTTTTATTCTAAAATTTATTCTGGGTCTAAAGTTTTTTTAAGTTTGTGCATAATAAATATTTTTATTAAATTGTTTATTTAGCATATTTTGTAATGAAGAAAATACTTTTTATTTTAGTTTGTTTAGCTAAAAAACAACAATATGACAAAGTTATAGAGTATACGACTAAGGTAACTTCCCACTTTTTTGTATGGATTTATTTTTTAGTTATATATATTTATGGTTATTTCTAAACTTTATAATTTTAGGTTTTGTTACTTGATTCAGATAATATTAAAGCATTATTTCGTCGTGGACAGGCTTACATGAACAAAACAGATTTTGACAACGCAGAAAAAGACTTTAAAAGAATTAAAATCATCAATGAAAAAGGTATTGTTTTGATACTATTTATGTTCAGTATCGAAGTATCAATTGTATAGCAAGTTATTGTTTATACTTAAAATCTATATCATATATGATTTGCTGGTGCATTATTGTTGTCTTAAATATGTTGTGGTTTTGCCCTAACACATCAGTTGTTCATATTAACAGAAAAACTATTTTAGAGTAGCAGAGCTGAGGAAAAACAAAGAAAAATCTCTTAATACTTTCATTGTATTTCTTATTTTTCTTCTTAGTACTTCTTCCCATTTCTGTTATCCTTCACCTTTTAACCCATTTATTCATGTTGAGCTGTATGTTGTGGTTGTTCTCTTTTTTTATTTTCATGAGAAAGATTTTTTTCAGAGGCTCTGAACCTCATAACAGAAGGTTGAGGATTTGTTCTGACAAGAGAAATCTAATGATGGTCCTAATAATTATTTAAGTGGTGTTTAATAATATAGGGGAGAGCGGGACACAAATTTTTTTTAAGGGTAATTGCAATATCTTTTTTATTTGATGTATAAACTGAAACAAACAAGTTTTTATGAATAAACCTTTTTAGGCACTGATTCAATCTTCTTAGGTTTCCAGCCAATTATAACTATGTATATAAATTTTTGCTTTTAGAGAAACGGTGCCATTAGGGTAAAGTGGGACTAGTATGAGTAGAAGTGGGACAAATAAATTTAAAACAATATTTTGACACAAATTATTAAATGTACTTTAAAAAAATGTTTACATTGGGGTGAAGTGGGACAGAAAAAAGAAATATTTATGCTTCGCTTCTTTCCATTGCCATATGGTTATTTAGACTGGTGAAAGCTTTTGAACATTTTTTTGTCGATTAGGTGATTTAATGATTCTGTCAAATATAATTTTTTTCAATTAGGTGATTTTCTGATTCTAAAATATATTATGACTTTTAAAAATCTCCATGGCAACATCAGGATCCAAATACTCTAAAAACAACTGACTTGAACTATATCTGCAATTTATTTTGTTAAATTGTTTAAATTTATTTATTTATATGAAACTGACAGAATCATAAAATCACCTAATCGACAAAAATATGTTCAAAAGCTTTCATTATCTAAATAATCATATGGCAATGGAAAGAAGAGCAGCATAAATATTTCTTTTTTCTGTCCCACTTCACCCCAATGTAAACATTTTTTTAAAGTACATTTCAAAAATAGGGCTTCTTGGCAGGGAAACAAAGCAATTTCTTCTAAATAGAGGGGAAGAAATTTAATTGTTTTCATTAAATAAAAGTATTTAGGCACCACTCCTAATTAGAAATTTCAGGCTGTCCCACTTCTTCCATGTCCCACTTCTCCCCACTTTCCCCTTGTACTTTTATCCATGTGGCATGCTGATGTTACACCTTTTCCTCCGCATAGAACATAGAATTCAATACCAGGCTACCTCATCAGAAAATTATGGATTGATAATATTAAAAGAGCTCTACATGTATTTTTACGGTTTACTATAGGCAAACGATAAGAGATTGTTATACTTTCTTCATCATATCAGACTATTGCCCCTTCCTTCTACCCCTCCTTCAATGCCTATTATCACAATTGCTCCTCGGTTTGACTACATCTGTTTGTTTGTATATTTTCATCTGTTACCTGTTAAGTCAATTTAAGGTCTTTGAACATTCTCTATGTTTTAAGCAGTTGATTTTCTATTGCTGGGGTGCCTAATAGCTCTTTCTATATATTAAAAACAATCTCTGCATATTGATGTATTAGTATCAGAACTTGAAATTGAAGTACTTTCATTGCCCTGTAATAAAATCAATATACTCTTATAGGTTGAGCTCTATGTTTTTTGACAAAAACACAATTTAGCTACTACATATAAGCATTAAAATGGTAACTCTTCCCCAGTTCCCCAGAAAGTTTCTACACTTCTGACAATTTTTCTTTTTTGAAAAAAAATTATTAATCCCATGCATTAAAAAAATTAGTATAAGTTAAATTAAAAAAAAAAGCATGTAATCAGTGGCGGATTAAGACTTCTTGGGGCCCGGGGCTATTTTTGTTTTTGGAGGCCTTTTTATGGGCCAGAGCCTAAAAATGACTCTTTAAAAAAAAAAAAAAGGTCCTCTAAAATTTTTTGGGCATTTTAAAAAAAAAAAAAAAGGCACCTAAATTTGCGGGGCCCGGGCTATAGTCCCCCCACCCCACCCCCTTAATCCGGCATTGCATGTAATTGAAAACATTGTATTTTGGGCACAGTCTAGTGGCAAAGAAATTCACTTGAAATAAAACCGCCATCTATATTCTTTCTTGATTTCTAAATTTTCAATAGTTTTCCCGGTTATTTTTTTAGTTTTCCCTCTATTTTCAATGTCATGTTTCACTAAGTCACTAATGTCATCCCCAAAAAAACACTCCTTATACTACTATACACTACCATAAAACTAATATACTACCACCTCTATGCCTAATAGTAGCCTTTAAGCATTTTCTAATGATTTTATCTCTTCTCCATCTAACAAATTGTCATCGATTGTTTGGGATCGTCCATAAATTACGCAATGCTAAATTTAACTAATAAACAAAACAAAAAAGATCAAAAATTTTCCTTCGCAGAATCTTTAATTAAACCACTAATTAAACGGGCGCTTTAAGTTTATTAAAAACTACCGTGTAAAAGAGCAAATGATCTACTTCTGACCTTTTTAAATTAGTTTAGCGTTTCGTAATTTATGGATGATCCCTTTCCAAATCTCGGTTCCGTCAGTCCGTAGCACATTTTTTCAATCATTATTTTGTCAATATTAGTGTTTCTTTGAAATCATAGGTTTTTTATTTTTGTTTCCTTTGTGAACAAGTACAAAATTTATGCATAACTATTTATAATTAATGCGTAATTATTGTTTTTTCTAACCATTATTATTAGCTTTTAACTAATTATTTTGATTTTATTGAGAAGTTCATTATTAATTCTGTGATGAGTCTCATATATCTGTTAAAATGTTTTTTCTTAAAAGATTTATCTGTAAAAAGACTTATAATCTCTTTTTTAGGTTTTTTTAACAAAATTATTTTTTGAAATTTCATGATTTTAAAAGGTCAAAGCAAAGCACGGCTCGCATGCTCTAAGGGATCAAAGAAGCAAATAAGTCTTTTTACCACTGCATTTATTTAAAATGAAAATCTTTTTGTTTATAGAAACATGTGCGAACGATTATTTTATATTGATTGAAAAGGAGAGAAAAAAAGAAGAACGAAAAAGAAAAGATATATATAAAAAAATGGTGTCTGGTAAAACGTAAAAAAAAAAACAACCGTTATTTTAAACTTCATATTAAAAAGTTTTAGTTTTTCACATAATTCTTATAACAATAATTAATAGTTCTAATTTTTTGTATTTGTCACAAACTTTTTACTTTAATATATAAAAACTTTATTTATGAATCTATAATTTTTTATATTTTTTTAAAAATTATTTGTTCATATTTAAAATATATTGTTTCAAAAGAGAAGAGGTTTTCTGGTTCAAAACATTCTCAATGATCTCACGTTGTTTTTCTTCGAGTGATTCCCAAAGCTGGTGGGCTTCTACATCATTTGCAAATAAGTCAGTAAAAATATCAGTTTTGAATTCATTAATGATGAGTTTTTGATTTTCTTTGTCCGGGAAACCAATTTTTGATATAGCATTTGTCAATCTCTGAGGTGTTGCGTTTGCAAGAATTCTCTGCAATACTATATCTTTTTTTGATTTGCTAACAGGCTTAGCTTTATAAAACGGAAATTAAACGTAAAATATATAAATTGTAATTATCTTAAAGTAATAAGGTTAATGTTAAATAAGGCTTACTAGCTTTAGGAAGTGTTTGTTTTCTCTCTTCTTCAAACTCTGGAAGCTTTATTTTAATGATCACTCTCTCGACCTCACCACCTCGACGAGTTGGACATTTTAATGTTTTGATCGGCTTTACAACAACTCCTTCTGCTTTGTTAGATCCTTAATTTACAAAATTTCAGTTCATTACAAAATTTCAACTCCTACTATATTTTCAAAAATAAAAACAATGTAGTAGGTAAAACAAAAATTTAGTCGAAGTCAAATATTTATAAGATCATCAAAAATATTTATTAGATCATCAAAAACATTTATAAGATCAAGATAAAAACTAAATTAAAATAATTTAATAAAAAAAACTAGATAGTTAAGTCTTAATTTGATAAACAAAATATTTTCGCAAAAAGTATGTAAAATATACTTTATAATAGGCAAAAGTACTGACCAGCTGGAAGAGGCGGTAATCCTAATAATTTTGGTATTGTGCTATCGAATCCTAGTTTGAAATTTAACGCTTGACTCATGGTGCCTATCATTAATGGTTGCAAGTAAAATATATCAAGACTTTTAAAAATCTCCATGGCAACATCAGGATCCAAATACTCTAAAAACAACTGACTAAACTAGATCTGCAATTGTTAAATTGTTTAAATTTATTTATTTTGTTAAATTGTTTAAATTTATTTATAGGCATTTAGTTTTATTGTAAAAATAATATTTCAAAATTTTATCAGTTGTAGAAGTGGTACATACATTATCTTGGAAATAATAACAAACGTAATAATGTATAGTATTACATCATTGTATAATATTACATCATAAATAACAATATTGCATAATATTACGTCATAAATAATGATGTATCATAAAAGTTCACTTTAAAAAGTAACTTTAATATTAACAGCGTAAGCTAATAATAAAGTAATTTATATATCATTTATTTTTATATTTTTAGATATTGATATATTTATCTAATAACAAATTTAATGTTCTATTATGAAGTACAATCAGTAGGATGTTCTTAGATCAACTACTCTTTTTTAATATGTCATTATACTATTTATTGATTTACATTTCAAAAATAAATAAAAGCATCGTACCGTTTAACCCTTCTTCGAATTGTGTCCTGTAGCCAATGTCGAAAGCACACCACCTGACGTCTGGACAGTATTGTATTTCTTTTTGTATTGGTTTTTGGTTTCCGTTTGTCGGTACATTGGAATAGTAACCTAATTAGCAAATTAGGCGTAACAATTTATTTTTTTAAAAAAAAAGAAAGATAGAAAAGCAAAAACTTTTGTTTACCTCCAAACAGTTCCCCATAGATAGAAACTTGTTTGATTTGTTTACCAGTTGATGTTTCAACCATACGGTAAATAGTTTTCATTTTCTCGGGGTAATCATTCATGAAACTAGCGGTAATGTGGTTAAAAAAGTTTTCGCCTTCCATTAAGAAATCTCTTCGACGACCGATTTGTACCCATTCGCCGTCTGTATGAAAACTGAAATTTGCCCCGTGTATTTTTTCTAAAACAATCCAAGAAGTTTTTTCCAATTCACTAGAACCGATAAATTTATTAATACTATCGGCCATTTTTTCATACTCTTCGAATATCATTTTTACTTTGTCCTTAACTCAAATTATTATTTAACTTAGATTTAAAAATAATTCTAAAAAGCAAAACGCTAGTTTTATGTTATGTTATTGCACCATGGTTTGTAAACAACGACCGTTAGATTTTATGGAAATGACGTTCGATTTAACTTGTATAAAAAATGTATTGCATCATTTCCATTGAAATATTTATGCATATGCAGCATATTATAATTGATTAGATGATGCAATAGGCTTTTTGTGATTGGTGTGAATATATAAATCAAAGTTAAAATATTCATTCCTTTTATGCGCAAAAATGTGTAGCATGTTTAACATTTCTATGACTACATATTCGGGAGTTTTAAATTATTTTCTTTTGTTCACTTTTTTTTGTTTATTTGTCTCAAAAATAAAAAAAAATTATTTCGAAAAAAATATTATTTCTATAAAACCGGTACAAAACGAATACCTTTTTTTTTTTTTTTTTTGTGAAAATACGATAAACAAAATTGAATTTTCATGTTTTGTACGAAACAAAATTTTTTACTTCGTGAAAAACGACAAGTATCATTTCGTGATTTTTTTTTTTACAAGAACGGAAATTAAAGAAAGAAAGAATATTAGTTTATTTCGCCGTTAAAAATATATTCACAAAGTACAAGAATATAAAAAGTACAATTGGCCGGAGCAAGAAGAAGACATAAATTAGCCCAGACAGCAAGTATATACTGGTCCGATAATGGCTAGCCAATGCCAGCGAATTCTATAAAGGTCCGATAAAGTTCCGTTCTTGTATTGCCAGTTCTGGGAAGCCGTAACAGGGCCATTGCTGAGCCTTTATAAAATTGCCTGAGCTGGGTAGCCGCAAAAAAGCCATTAATGGTCCAACGAAGATTTGCCGAAGCAGAACAACAGACATTGGGCCGATACTGGCCCATCAGTGGCAATAATGATATAAACAATATCATTTGTGTATACTGCGCCGAATTTTGCATCCATCTTGAAAGTCGTTTTTTTCACTTTTCATACAAATGTATCTTAAAACTTTAATGTTTAAAAAAATACTTTCAAGTGATTCTATATTGCGTACGTAATAATTTCTGAATAATTTTAAAAACTAATATTTATAAAACGAAATTTATGTTTTTTAAACAATTTCTAAATAAATTATTGCAATTAATTCTTTTGTTAAATAACTAAAGTTTCGTATGCCATGTGTTGCTACACTACAAATAACATAATTATCATGATATATTAACATTGTTTACATCAAACATTAACCATTAAATTGGTTTAATGTTTAAATTATTTTTTTTCCACCAAGCTAAAACTGGTTAAAGAAACTTAAAACCTAAGTTAGTTAAAAAAACATAAAACATAATTTATGGTAACTGAAGAATGATTGATATTGATAAAAATAACTGATAGAAATGTTGGCTTGATAAAAGAAAATACATAAAATATATGTATATTATTGTGTAGATTACTTGAACAATTTTGCTTTATTTTATCTTTTTGTTATCATATTCATAACTTTTCTGTAATATAATTTGATTGTTATTAATACATTTACCTTTTATATACTTATAGTTTAATAGGAATAATATAAAGATAACATTTTCTTCATAAATATTTTATTTATTTATTTTTTCTTCTCCAGGTATACCATATAAAATATACATTTATTATCGTGGTAAAAAGAAAAAATATATATAAAATTATTACGTATCAGATTGATAAAAATATATTAATATAACTTTGATACATTAATATAGTATAGATGAAAACTTAATATAAATTCTGGTATAATAACTATTATATATATATTTATTTTTTTCTATACTTTAATACCTAAAAAAAGGAAATCAAAGAAGATTCAGCATTTTTGGGTAAAAAACTCCAAAAAAAATCTTTTCGCAGATTCCCTTAATAGCGCCTTATATCTATGTCTATATAAAAAGTTAATCAAGTAAAATTAGAAATAATTTTTTGTAATTAGCTTTGTAATTAATATTTCCACTGTTATATACACACACACACATATATATATATATATATATATATATATATATATATATATATATATATATATATATATATATATATATATATATATATATATATATATATATATATATATATATATATATATATATATATATATCCTTATAGAGTAGTCGAAAGAGTCTTTTAATGTAAACAAAGTCTCTTTCGACTACAATTTTAATTACCTCGTCTCTTAAACTGTATTTGATTGTCGTCGAAATGTCAAAGCAATTAAATTATTGCGGAAGTACATTAAATTTTATTGTTTTTTAAAAAATTTTTAAAAAAGCGCAATAATAACGACTAGAAAGTTTTTTTTAATTAGAGGTGTTTTTGATTTTTTTTTTTATTAAAAAACATTTTTAAAACATGGGTAAAAGTTGCTACATGGACTATCTTATAGCCTGCTGCTACAAGGGAGTGTTTCTACATCGACTATCTTATAGCCTGACTCGCAACGGAGTGCTGCTACATCGACTGACAAATAGCCTGACTCGCAACGGAGTGCTGCTACATCGACTGACAAATAGCAATACTCGCAAGGGAGTGCTGCTACAACGACTGACAAATAGCCTGACTTGCAAGGGAGTGCTGCTACATCGACTGAGGGTTTGGTTTGGGTAGTCTATCGGGTTTGGTAGGCAGTCTATCATTTAAAAAAAAAAAAATTTAAGTTTTTTAAGTTTTCTGGTCTGGTTTATTAACGCGCTCTGTTTATGGGAAACTCTTTTTGACTACCATGCAAGAGTAGGGGAAAGCGGGGCAACATGGCGAGCGTTTTGAAAGCCCTGAGTTGTGCAAAACTATAAATCGTGAAGCCATAATACTTTCTCAGTATGTTTATGTTGTTAAATTTTTTCATTGCCTGCATGAATTTTCAGTTTGCAAATATAACAATTTGAAATAAATATTAAAATAAAAAGTTCATAAATTTGTCATCTGGTCACGTGACCGGGGCAAGATGACTTATTATGCAATTTTTACCTCCAATTTTATAAAATTTTTAAAACTACCAACAACTCTAACTAAAGTAACAAAAAATAAACACAAATTGCAAAAAACTACTTCTAAAGAAGTTAAACTTGAAGGGCACCATCTATTATGAGAAACCGAAAGTGAGGAATTTTTTTTTAGGCGCTGAAAGTAAACTTATGTGTATAAAATTGCGTTAATAATATTTCAAAAAGCCAATTAGTGTTTTAAAATACAAGATGCAAATACAGTTTTTTTTTCACTCAATTTTAAGATTTTTTGTTGAGTTGTTATATGAAAACCCATCTTGCCCCATTCGCCATGTTGCCCCGCCTTCCCCTATATATATATATATATATATATATATATATATATATATATATATATATATATATATATATATATATATACATACACACACACACACACACACACACACACACACACACACACACACACACACACACACACACACACACATATATATATATATATATATATATATATATATATATATATATATATATATATATATATATATATATACACATACACACACACACATATATATATGTATATACATTTTATTTATTTATTTTATTATTATTATTATTATTATTTTTTTACTTTTATATTTTTTTTTTACTTTTTTTTTTTTTTTTTTACAAACTAAGAATATGCAGCTTTGATTGCCGTTTAAACGACGATATTCCATTTAAGTCTTTTAATTTTTGATTTTTCAAGTTTTTCCATATTTTAGGACCCTGTGACATAATTGAAAATTCAGAACCCTGAATTTTAGTTTTTTTAATATAATAGTTATGGAAGCTATTTGATCGTAGATTATAACTTTGAGAAAATGATGACGAGAATATGTCTAAAAAAGAATTTGGTAGCATATTATTTTTATGTTTGAACATAAAAATAAGAATCTGATGTAAGTTAAGTTTTTCCAAGTTTAAGACTTTCATATTTTTCATCGCATTGGAAGGATTGTCCATTCTACCTAGATAATGAATTGCTTTACAAGCATGGTTTTGCAAGCCTTTTAGTTTGATTAACTTTGTTTTGTGTGTATTAGCCCACACTATATTAGCATATGTGAGATGACTGTGAATTAGACTAAAGTAAAGTTTTTTTCTTGAACAGAAATCAAGAAACGGGCGACATTTATATAAAATACCTATTGCAGATGATATTTTTGTTTCGATGTGTCCAATATGATTTCTCCATGATAAATATTCATCAATATGAACACCAAGAACCTTTGCATATTTTTCCCGTTTTATTGTTATGTTGTTAATGAGCAATTCTGGAATTTTTAACGGTAAAGACATTGATTGACCTTTTTTTATGAAATAAGATGTAGCTGTTTTTTTCACAGTTTAAGGATAGTTTATTTGCTCTAAACCATAAAGTAAAGCTTTCCAGTTCAGTATTCATTGTTTCGAACATCGATTTTAAATTACTATGATTAAAAAATAAAGTTGTGTCATCAGCATACATTATTGAAGATACTATAGATGATGCTTTATGCATATCATTGATGTAAATTAAAAACAATAAAGGTCCTAAGATTGAGCCTTGAAGAACCCCACACTCAATATCAAGAACACTTGAGTCTTTGTTTATTACAAACTGCTTTCTGTTACTCAGATATCTTTTTACCCATTTATACATTAGTCCTTTGATACCATAATGTTTTAATTTTGATAGTAAGATGTTGTGGTCAACTGTATCAAATGCCTTTGTAAGGTCTATAAATACTCCCAATACATGATCCCCTTTATCAAAAAATTGAAATATTTTATTAGTGAGTTCAATGATAGCATGTTCTATTGAGCATCTTTTTTGAAAAAAATATATTATAAGAATGTTATTGTGTTATTGAATGTTAAAGTTTTTGAAGTCAAAACATGGATACTAGGGCGGATCCAATTTAAAAATTTTTGAAATTTGATTTGCCTGAGCTGCGAATCGATGTCTTTTAGTGAAAAAAGAACCTTACTTTTTTTTTTTTTAAATTTAAATGAGTTTTAGAGGTTCCTCTTTGGATTCTAAATTTATGACGGATCCTAATATTGTTGAAATTTTTTTCTTCTAAGGGGCCATCCATAAAGGACGTCACCATTTTTTAGCCAATTTTTGACCCCCTCCTCCCCCTTTGTCACCGGTTGTCCTTTTGCCCTATACCCCCCTTGAAAAGGACGTCATAAAATCCTGACCCCCCCCCCCCTATTTTTAACTCTAAAAAAATTTATTTCATCTCGCAATGGTGTTTGAATCTGCTGCTACACCTTTGAAAAATAAAATTAAAAATATTCTCATACATTATCTTCTTAAAAACACATGTTTACGTAGTTTTTCATGTTAATTAAACTAAAATAAAAAGTCTATAAAGTGACGTCCTTTTCTGACAACCTCCCCCCCTCCCCTTGTCCTTCTTTGTCCTTTTTAACTCAACCCCCTCCCCCCCTATTTGGATGACGTCCTTTATGGATGGCCCCTAAACTATATCAACCTGGTACTCAAAAGAATAATACGCTTATTTTGAATATAATATTTGTTTTAATTCAAATTAAAAAAAAAAAATAATGTCATTTTTTTCATTAAAAAATCCCTGTCTTCATCAAAACGGGGGTTTTAAGGTATATTTTTGCAATATTTTTTTCACTAAAAATTTTTTTTTATAAAATTATTATTGATAAAACAAGCATTTTTTCCTGCTTTTTTTGAGTCCAAGGTTGATATAGTTTAGAAAAAAAAAATCAAAAATATTAGGATCCGTCAAGAATTTAGAATCCAAAGAGGAACCTCAAGATCTCATCAAAATCAAAAAATATTTTTTTACTTTCATCTTATAATTAATAGACATTGATTCGTGTCTCAGGAATATTGATTTTAAACTTTTTTTTTTGCTATGAAAATCGATCCACCCTAATGGATACCTAAGTATTACTAGCATATGAAGTACTAAATAGGAAAAGTTACCAAATCTATATATCTAGATTTGAACATATGAACAAAAGTATTTTTAACAAAATAATTAGAAGAATTTGTTGTTGACTTTATTATTTTTTTTCTAGGAGTTTAATCATTATTTAATTTTTTTTTCAAATATATTTGCTAATTTATTTGCTTATATCTACAATAAATAAACCAACAAAGTTGTGATACATTTTATTAGTGTTTAGTCTAACAAAAATAGGTGCCAGACTTTAATAGCTTTTTACAGTTTTGTATATATTTATCGTAGATTTAAAAAATATAAGTAAGTTATATTTTATCGCTTTCACAATTTCTAGTAATAAATATTTTTTTTTTGTGGGTGTTTACGACTACTGCACCGGACCACACCGGACCACACCGGACTACACCGGACCACACCGGACCAACACCGGAGTATAAAAAACAATTTTGGTAGAGCGAAACATACGTAAGTTACATTCGTAATATATAAATGTTTACCCCAAAAAAAAAAAAAAAAAAAAACTGAATAATTTAAATTTTATAACAATTTTAATTGTGTTCCTACAAGTAAAAATATGTATTTTAGTCAGAATTTTACCGCATTCGTGTATTTCATTCACGCGGGCACACCCCTATCATATATTAATGTTTTTGATTTAAGTCAAAATAAATATGTGTTTTGATTTAAGCAGAGCGGTAGGCTTTTTTACGTAATTAATAAGTTATTCTTTTAGACTGCTTGCCCTAACCAAAAACCTTTTGCACATGCGTGTACACTCCACTGCGCCTGTCCCTATTTTAGTCAGTCGATGTACGGACACTTTGCTGCGCCTGTCTCTATTTTATTCAGTCGATGTATGCATACTCTACTGCGCCTGTCCCTATTTTAGTCAGTCGAAGCATAAGTCACAGTCCCTGTTGCTATTTTTAATTTAAATTTAGTTTTTTTTTTTTAGTTTTTTATTGAATATATATATATCACAAATATAACTTACGTATGTTTCGCTCTACAAAAATTGTTTTTTATACTCCAGTGTGGTCCGGTGTTGGTCCGGTGTGATCCAGTGTAGTATTCGTATAGGGGAAAGCGGGGTAACATGGCGAATGGGGCAAGATGGGTTTTCATATAACAACTCAACAAAAAATCTTAAAATTGGATGAAAGCGAAACTGTATTAGCATCTTGTATTTCAAAACACAAATTGGCTTTTAGAAATATTATTAACGCAATTTTTTACGCATAAGTTTAATTTTTGCGCTTAAAAAAAAATTCCTTACTTTCGGTTTCTCATAATGGATGGTATCCTTCAAGTTTAACTTCTTCAAAAGTAGTTTTTTGCGATTTGTGTTTATTTTTTGTTACTTTAGTTAGAGTCATTGTTAGTTTTAAAAATTTTATAAAATTGGAGGTAAAAATTGCATTATAAGTCATCTTGCCCCGGTCACGTGACCAGATGACAAATTTATGAACTTTTTATTTTATTATTTATTTCAAATATTTATTTGCAAACTGAAAATTCATGCAGGCAATGAAGGATTTTAATAACATAAACATACTGAGAGAATATTATTGCTTCACGACTGATAGTTTTACAATAACTCAAGGCTTTCAAAATGTTCGCCATGTTGCCCCGCTTTACCCTACATTGTTTATTTGTCAACTATTTTGCTTATGAAAAAATATTGTTGACCGTTTCATTTTTTGGATTCTTGTTTATATATCATTTATTGTTGTCTTTTGTAATAGAATTTTTTCTAATATTGGAGCAGTATGTCAATTTATTACATCCAAGTAATTAATATTTCTGTATAGTTATATCAGATCACCTCTTGATCTTCTGATTTTTAATGTGGGGAGAAAGGTTTATCAGTGAGTTTTTACATGATAAATCTTTTAAACTAAAAACATAAATTGCTCTATGTTGGAGTTGCTCAATCATAATAACATGTTTTCGTATATGTAAACTCTTTAATGGGGTTCAATATTTAAGGTGATGTCTAAATAATGATGTACTATTAACGTTAAATTTCATTTATCTAATAATTTCAATAAGTGTTTGATTTGTCCTAATGTCAAACTTCCAAAGTCATTTTTTCTCTATAATTTTATTTTTAAAACGCTTTCATTAAGTTATAAAGAATTGCCAATAATGATGCTATTAACCTGATTTTTGTTTTAGTACGTAGCATATATTTTTATATATTACGTTTTAGTATGTGTGTTCCAAACTTTCTGCAACTTATAATAAAACTCCATTCTATAGGTTTAATGCCTTTTCTTATTTTGTTATTTTATATGAAAAACTTTAAATACAAATAGTTTTAATTATTAGATATCATAGTATTGATGTTTTGTTTTTAGAGTTTGTTTGTGATGATTAATGTGCCACCACATAAATGTAGCAAATATTAATGAAGCTATGGCAATAAACTTAATGTTGACACAAAAATGCCAAATCTCAAGTTAAATGGTTTATCTAAATCTTGTAAGTTTACACTTAAATAAGTTATTGATATTTCTGTTTTCAGTGTTTAAGTGAAGGAAAAGTTTTTTTCCCTTATTTTTACTATTACTAATGACTAGATTTACTGTGTTTTATAAAATAGTTTCTGTGTATAAAAATATTTAGGAAGATTGAGAGACATTTTATTTTTTATTTTTAAATTTTTTATTTATTTTTTGTTCAAGTAACTTTTACAATAAAACAATCAATAAAATACATACAATAAGAGTTACAAATTTTGTTGACTCTACAATAAGAACGCAGATACTTGCAGAAGGTCATAAGATCTTGTCATTGAGAACCGCCTAAACAGATTTTAAATTAAAAAATGTTTAAGATGCTTTAAATTGTAATTATACTGTGGCAACATTTCAAAGTTATCTATTTATAATAAAATGATAAATTGTGTGTCATATACTTTATTTAGAATCTGCTGTGAATTAAATTAAATATCATAAAAGGTGAAATCTCAAGACATTTTTAACAAAGTTTTGGTCCATAATAATCGAAGTACCACATGTTTTAATAAATATATTTTTAAGTATCCTGCATTTGGTTGTAATTGTAAATTTTCATTGTGATATTCATAACATTTTAGTTCACAAAGTTATAAAAAGATTAAGGATCTTTTTATAACTTTGTCTCAAGTCTATGTAACTATGATTTGTTGTTAATGGATTGAACTTTTTCGTCAATAATAAAAATAATTGTTATTGTAACATGATAACCATGTTGTTTATAAGTTGTGACCATTTTGTATACATGTGGTTACTATATTGTATAAGTATATATGTAATAAATTATTAGGTTGTGTTTATGTTTGTTTTTATTTTATTAAGTTAAAACGGATGCAAGCACTAAGAAGAAAATAACGTTACAAATTGAAGCAGAAATTTAATGAATCATATTGACGATTGGATATGAATCGCACAAAAACACCATTGTCGAATGGTTATGAATCAAATATTTGTATTATAATTGCGTAAATATATTATAAAATTTAAGCCTGTTTTTTAAATTTATTCATAATAATTAAAATTGACAATAATCATGTGTTTAATACATTTTATTGTCCTTAAACTCATGAAAAATACGCCAATTTTAAACCAAAAAAATTATAGTCGATTATGCTTAAAACAACTTTAAATAATTAAGAAGACGGGGTCTAAAAGGAAAGTATAGGGATTTCAAATAGGATTGCCCAATGAAAATTCATAACAATCCCATGCGCGACCCAGTTAGTTAACAAAGACAAAATCACGATGGTACGGTAAAATACGTATGTAAAATATGTATGTAAAAATGCCTAATCGTTGTTCTGCCATTCTTGTCCCGCACTGGCTAGCCGCTGTTTTGCCATTAGTAACGCAAATAAATATCCGTAATATATAATAATCCGTAATATATAAGCAACAGCATTTTAGAAAAGACAATTTTAAGATGTTAAGAAATAAAAAAATAAAAAAGCAATAAAATAAAAGAAAATAAAAAAAAATAAATGATTAAAATATAGTAATAAAAATGACAAAAATTTTCTGTTTTTGGTTATAAACGGAACGTGATTCGATATATATATATATTGTATATATTATTTTCTTTCAAAATAATACAAAATTCAAATAAAATTTCTGTTCCAATATCATAAAATATATCAAGAAAATTGTAGGTATCTTCAAGAATATATATTTTCAATGAAAGTACTAAATAACATCTTAATTTAGATTTGAATTGCGGAAATGTTTATTCTTTAATATTAACAATATGCTGAAAGTTTTTCCACAAAATCGATCCCCGGTACTGAATAGAATAAGAACATAACTTTAGATTATATTTTTGAGTTACAAAGTTATTTTCTGAGAACTTGGTGGGTCTCAGAAAATAACTTTGTAACTTTGTTGTATTATTTATTGCTAGTCTTGATCGTACAAAAACTACATCGGTACAAACATTTGTGCCAAATACCCCCCTAGTTGCCCATTTTGACAGTAAAATTCTACCAGACACATATGGAAACCTGGCTGACAGGATGCCAATTGTTATATCAGGTTTAAATGTTGAAAAACTATCAGCCATTCCTAAACTTTCCATGGGTAATGGTGAGCTTATGGGAAACTTGGTTGTTGAAACATTGGAAAAATGGAAAGATGTTCCAGATTGGCTGGCAGGTCTTTGTTTTGACACAATAAATTCCAACACTGGTGTTCGCACTGGTGCAATTACTATCATTTAGCAGGCATATGATAAACATTTACTTTTTTGAGCCTGCAGGCATCATATCCTTGAAATTATTTTGGCTGCAGTATTTGACCAGTTTTTCCAGTCTTTAGGACCACAGATTGTAATACTTCGTTGGTTCAAGGAACACTAGAAACTTATTGACACTACCCAATATAGTACGATTGAGACTTCTGGCATTGAAGTCAAATCTGAACTTACAGTTGGTATCTGTGTATGGTTAAATCAAAAGAAGAAAAATATGTCAGAATTTCTTAGGAATCAACTCTCTCATAAAAATAAACCACGAAAAGATTACCTGGAGCTCATCCAATTGACCCTTATCATATTGGGTGAAAATTATGATGTGACTCATTTCAGTCCTCCAGGTGCCTATCATCGTGCCTTTTGGATGGCAAAAGGAATATACAGTCTTAAAATCTATTTGTTCCGTAGACAATTCAAACTTACAGCATACGAACTACAAGGTCTTTGTTGTATCATTATTACGATTTATGCGAAAATCTGGCTTAAAGCTCCAAACAGTTCTAATGCTCCATACAATAACATTTGTCTACTCCAAACTCTAGAGTCTTATCTTTCTGTAGACAAAAAAGTAGCAGATATAGCAATTAAAAAAATGAGAGGACATGTGGCATTTGAGCGAAGATTTGATTGGACTTGCATTATTTTCTGATTTGGTTCCAAATAGTGAGAAAGAGGCTATGATTGTTGCTCTGAAGAAACCACCAATGAAAACTGATCTCAGAAGAGTTGATTCAAAATTAGTTGACATCTATCAGGAAAAGACTTTGTCAGATTTTGCTACTCAAAGATCAATTAATTTGTTCACTGCGCTTAAAATTGAACCTATTTTCTTGCTTACAATCCAGCTGCATGGTTTTTTTTTTTAAGCTTACAATTTTAAACTTATTTTCCTGACCACAAACCACAGGGTAGTCCAATTAAAATTCAAAAACTATTTTTTTATATATAATTTTGAAATGGTCTAGTATGCATGTATACATATGTGTGTGTATGTATGCATATGTATGTATATATGTGTGTTCATGTGTGTGTATGTCTACATGTGTATGTATATATATGTATATGTATGTGTATGTGTGTATACATATATGTATATATATATATATATATATATATATATATATATATATTATATATATATATATATATATATATATATATATATATATATATATATATATATATATATATATATATATATATATATATATATATATATATATATATATATGTACCTTTACAACACATTAACAATATATGTTCCCAGAAAATTAAAATAATGCAACAAAATTAAATATGGGCGATTCACTCTCATACAGTATAACCTAGCAACAAAGTCACCAACAACAACAATACTGACAAAAGAATAAAGAGAAAGAGCTTGGTCAATTGCTTGATCAGAAAAAACATTCCAAAACGAAAGAACATAAAAGAATACTCAGAGAATTCAAACCTAGATTTAAACCATAGTCACCTAACAAATTAGTGAATTGTTATGTATGTAAATGCCTAGGCCAAGCATGTGAATATTACAATCTTTACAAATTAAAGAAAGATATCAATCAACACTACGACAGTGAAATCAAATTAGTCTCACAAAGGTTAAGTGAACTTTGCGAGAATAAGGATTTGAAATAAAAGTTAAAAGAATTTAAAAAAAGTTAAAAGAAAATAAAAAAAAGAAAAAAAAACAAACTTATAAGATTACTGATATGTATTATACTTTTTGGTACACTATTTATTTTTGGATTTTTAAAAGAACTTGACTCATGGATAGCATGGATAGTACTCAATACACTGTTAGTACTATCATATTTTATAGCTATTTTGGAATCAGCCTCTTTGAGAGCAAGCACAGAGTTTGGGAAACCTGACTACCAGCTGTCTTCAAAAAAGCATATCCTACAAGGCAGCATGATATTAGGCAGGTTTTACTGGGTTACATGGTTCCAGTAGCAGTATGATCTAACAAAAATAATCTTAACCCCCCCAAAAAACGAACAAAATATTATCTATCTATATAAATAACAATGAATATATAAACAATAATGTAAACTAAGAAACAAATTTAAAAAATCTATACCCTTTGATGGATGAACTTTGAGGATGTTTGTATCTCATATTTAATAAGAATTTTCTGCATTTTGTAGAGTGCCAAACATAGAAAGCGTGGTACTTTATCGCTTCATTGCCTAAAAATAAATATTATAATAAATTCTAATTAACAAAAAGTAAAAATAAATACAATAACAAACTTAATATTAATGATAATATATTATTAATTTAATAACAGAAAAGTAAATAAAGAAATAAAAAAAATTAAAAGATTTACTTATTTCTTCCATGGTTGCCATATTCTAAAAAACTTAGAAGAATTGGCAAATTGGCTACAAAAAAACTTGGTAAAAGAGTAAGAATTCAAATAAAGTTTTATTAGAGTGTTTACTGAAAAAAAAAACAGTAAATAAGTAGTTTGGAGTAAAAGACTGAATAAATTAAACCTTTAACTTTAGAAAATTTAAAAAAATATTTTATTTAATATTTAAATGTTAATGGCCATATAACCGTCTAAGTCAAACATACATATGGAAGTTTGACTGAGACGGTTATACCTAATAAATTTAACTGTAACTTTAAATTTTACACTATTAAAAACATGCAAAATCTTTACATGTTGTTAACAGTGTAAAGATTAAAGTTATTTATTATGTATAAACATCTCAGTCAAACATCTATTAACTTAATGGATTTAAAGATTTTTAACTTAATTCGAAAGTTTTTCGTGCCAGAGTGTTATCCATTAAATATTTTAACTTATATGTTACATAAAGTTTGTATCAAATAAAAAAACTGGCTACCTGTTCAATTTATTAATCTTTGCGGACTGAATTAAGTAAGAAAAAGCTTATTAAGCAAAAACCTTTTTTGACTTTTCTTGGTATTTGATTAATTTAGAATATCATTAAGTTGAAAATATTTAAGTTTAATGCAGAAGTTTGATTTTTATCATAAGCATGTTTTATAACCTTGAAATTCCCCCTCTTAAAAAAGAAATTTTAAATATCTTTTTTTAATTTGGATCGGGGATCTCTTGCCGTCTTTATATATTCCAGGCACAAGAATCTTTGATAAATCAACGATAATTTTATGTTAAATTAGCCGTGGTTTTTTTTCTATTTTTTTTTTTTTTTAAACTTTATAAAATTTAAATTTGCATTATTGCCTAAAATCTTTTTAAAATTTAACTTTAACTTAAGAGCCGTTGTCTGAAAAATGTAGGCAAAATAAGCAAATTCTGAAAATGATGTCTTCAAATTGCCCTCTCTTTCAGATATTTTGTAAAAAACAATGAAAGTAGACCACTGGTAATTTTTTATTTTTTATTTTTTTTTTTATTTTTTATTTTTTTTCAGTTTACATTATTTACATGTCGTGATTTCCATGTAATATAAACATATAAACTTGGAATCTGGAAGAAGATCATATTGATCTTGTCGCCAGAAGCATATAAAAATTACAATATAAATATAATATAGTATAATACAGGTAGTTTATAACAAAATAAGAATCCAAAACATTTGAAATAAGAAATGGTTAAAATAATATCTCAAAAATATTTCAATATATTATCCGTAGAAAAAATAATATTCTTTAACTTGTTTTTAAAAACAAAAAAACAGAAAAAGAGATAGATGAATCTAAATTAGGCTGT